TTTCCCTTTGTGTTCGTCATTTTGGTTAATTACTGGAAGATGGCGGTTCCGGCCAAAAGGCGGTTCTTCCTTGTGAATGCACAAAGGCAATCACCGTAATGGCTAAAATAAACTTTTTGGGAAAAAATGTTAATTGATTCATTCTGTAAACATTTTTTTTTTTTGGAGAGGTTTTTGCTATAGGGCGTGTGCACTTGCCATCCAGACAGAGAGAAGCAGAGAGAAATAAGTGAGAAATCACCCCCTCGGGGGGATGGCCATGCTGCAACCCCTTCTCCTCCATTCTCCTCTCAGTATCTTGGGCACGCACGCACACGTGCCCCGCATGAGTTTAAGCCACCGGGTCCGGGACTCAAACTGTGGTTGACTATGTAGGAGTCCAGCGACATAGCCATTACGCTAATTGCTGGTCCCTATAAAAATATTTTGTTTTGGGGACCAGCAGGTGGCATGGTGGTTTAGGTGCTGGACACGCCCACATGGCCGACCACAGTTCAAGTCCTGGACCTGGTGGCTTGCTTTCTCACTTTCTCTCTCTCGCTCTTTCTCTGTCTGTCTCTGGTCAAATTAAAATAAATGAATGAATAAATAAAATTAAAAATAAATCATTAAAAAAGAATAAAGTCTCTTATCCTTGCACAAATTACTTTCTAAAAAAACGGTTTTGTTTTTGTTTCTACACATTCAAAAGATCTTGTGGGAAATTTATAGAGGAAAAAGTTCTTACAGACCTTCCCTTCTCAGGCCAGCAGATAACATAGAGGTTAAAGCTTAGGATCCCACATGTTCGACTCCATGGTTCAAGTCCTAGACCTAGCTTGAGAACCATGCAAGGCACATGTGTGTGCGCACGCCGAAAATCCCTAGAGGAGAATGGAGACAGGATTGTGGCATGCCATGTTCCCAGGGGGTGACTTCTCACTTTCCCTGTCTCTGCCTGTCTCCGGTGTGCACACATACCCCAGAGCAAAAATGAAAACAAACAGACAAAATCTCCCCTTCTCTAATAGTGTCTAATTCGTTCATTCTGAGCAGACATGATCTATGTCTCCGGAGGCTTTGACGGAAGCAGGCGTCATACCAGTATGGAGCGATATGACCCAAATATTGATCAGTGGAGCATGCTGGGCGATATGCAGACAGCTCGGGAAGGCGCTGGACTCGTAGTGGCCAGTGGAGTGATCTACTGTCTGGGTATGCAGCTGGGTTCAGGATGGGGAGAAGAATCAGTGGGAGGTGGACTCGGGGTGAGGATCACCTTTTAATAGAGTTAAGTTCATAGATTTTCTTCAGCTAAAACCCTGGTCTATCGGATATATCTTCCATCACCTGGGACTGTCTTTTTCTGGTAAGCAGAAAGCAGAGTACTGTCAGGTTTTTCTTCAGGTTATTTGAGCTTTGTGGTAGAACTGAAAGTAGAATAAGTCATTAAAGTGCTCAGAGGAAGGCCAGTGGGGAATGGACAGGAGGCTTTACCACTCTTTCTGGAATCGTCTCTACTTTGTCTTCCAGGGGGATATGATGGTCTAAATATCTTAAACTCAGTTGAGAAATACGATCCCCATACTGGACACTGGACTAATGTTACACCAATGGCCACCAAGCGTTCTGGTAAGACCCGGCAGATCTGAGGGGGGACAGTAGATGGTGCTGTTGAGTCTTGACAGATGCAGCGGTGGTACAGTCACGGGACAAAATCAGAGTTGTAGTTCCTGCTTTGGTGATAGACAGATTCAGTTCCCCTTGGCCTTTAAGTTAGACTATAAATTTGAGAGCAGAAATATTATTTTATACATTTTTTTCTCTTTTTTGTTTTTGTTTTTATTTTTGGGTTTGGTTTTTTTTTTTTTTGGAGAGGTTTTTGCTATAGGGCGTGTGTCCTCTCCAGAAAGACAGAGAGAGACAGAGACACAGAAAGCAAGAAATCACCCCCCCAGCGGGGATGGCCACACCACAATCCCTTCTCCTCTCAGGATCTTGGGCATTCACGTACACGCACCTGGCGTGAGTTTCAGTCACCGGGTCTGGGACTCGAACCATGGTAGACTACATGGGAGCTCAATGACATAGCTATTACGCTAACTGCTGGTCCCTTATTTTAGACACTTTTTGAGTCCTAGTTCCCTCCCCGCATTTTCGAATACGTAGTACAGTTTGTGTATGTAGTACATGGTAAGTAAATGTTAAGATCTCTAATGGTGGGGGCCGGCAGGTGGCATGGTGGTTGAAGGCACTGGACTCCCATATGGCTGACTGTGGTTCAAGTCCTGGACCTGGTGGCTTGCTTTCTCACTTTCTCTCTCTCTCTCTCGTTCTCTGTCTCTCTCTGATCAAACTGGAAAATAATAAATAAAGTTAAATAAAATGATTCTTTAAAAAAAAAAAGATCTCTAATGGCAAGAACAGAGAGGACTCTGCTGGTGGCACAGGGGAACCAGAAAAGGCCCCATGTGGGAAAATCCCCAGTTTGCCTAGAGCCTGTTTCTATATCCCGGTCACCCACATGTACACCTTCGATCCATTCTGGCTGTGGTTGAGGATAGACTGCAGCCTGAGGACTCTGTGGGAATGCCTGTCTTTCTGTCTCTCATTAAATAAATAAATTAAATTAAAAAAAAAAAGAGGTAGCTACATACCTTCACTAAGAACTTTTTATTTGGGGCCAGCAGGTGGCATGGAGGTCAAGGCAGGTGGATCCCGCATGGCTGGTGGGCAGTTCAAGTCCCAGACTGTCAGCTTGAAAAATCACACTAGCTATGTGTGCATGGGTTCCCAAAATCCCAAGAGGAAAATGAAGGAGGGGTTGAGGCATGGCCATGCTCTCTGTAGGGCGATTCCTCACTTTTCTTCTCTCTGTCTCTCTCTGGTGAGTGCATGTACCAACTTAAAAAGGAACTTTTTTTCTTCTTCAAGATTTGCTATATGGTGTGTGCGCTCTCCAGAGACAGAGAGAGAGAGTAAGAAAGCGGGGGATGGCCATACCACAGTCACTTCTCCATCCTCCTCCTGGGATTTTGGGCTTGCACACACACACACCCAGCATGTTACTCAAGTCGCCGAGTCCGAGACTAAAACCATACAGTCATGTGTGATCCAGCACCTTAACCTTCACACCATCTGCTGGCCTAGAACGTCTTTTATTTTTTTACAAAAATTTTTTATTTGACTTTATTTATTTTAATTTGACCAGAGAGGGACACGGTAAGAGAGAGAAAGTAAGAAAGCAAGCCACCAGGTGGTCTGGGACTCGAACTGTGGTCGACAGTGTGGGAGTCCAGTGCCCTTAACCACCACACCACCTACCAGCCCTGGCCTAGAAATTTTTAAAATGCAACCAATGTCAATTTTATTTATGATTGAGAGCACATGTTTGGACATGAGAAGCACGGTCTTGTCGTGCCGTAATCCTCTTCCCGTCCTTCAGCTTGTCAGGATCTTGGACTTGCATATGTTTGGCGTGTTTCAGGGTAACCAGGCCTGACCCGTAGTCAGCCATGTGGCTTCCAGCACTGCAGTTCAGTATGATGCCAACTGTGCCACCATGGCTGGGCCACTAAACACTCCTTAAAGTGAAGTAAGCTGTGGACCTAAGAGAGGAGAAAACTGCTATTCTAGCTTACTTCCTCTGGGTCAGAGTTGCTCAAGAACCACAGAGACAGCTCCTTTCCTTCCTTCTACCTTAATTATTGCGTTCTTTTTTTCACATCCTTTTTTTTTTATCATAATGAGGAAACTTGGGCTCTGAGTTAGGGAAAGGAAAAAAGAGAGCCTTTTTTTTTTTTTTTGTTCCTTATTTCAAGCCCTAGCCAGAGTTTAAAGATAGGATAGCCTGGGACCAGCAGATGGCGTAATGGTTACGTCTCTGCATTCCCATGTAGTTAACTGCGGGATTCCCATGTAGTTAACTGCGGTTCGAGCCCTGAACCCAATGGCTTAAAACACACGTCAGGGGGAACCAGCAGTTATCGTCATGGCTATGTCGCTGGGCTCCCACGTAGTTGACCGCAGTTCACGTCCCAGACCCGGTGGCTTAAAACTCATGCCGGGCGCGTGTGCGTGCGTGCCCAAGATCCCGAGAGGAGAATGGAGGAGAAGGGATTGCGGCGTGACCATCCCCTCTGGGGGGTGATTTCTTGCTTTCTGTCTCTATGTCTCTGTCTGTCTGGCGAGCGCACGCGCCCTATAGCGAAAACCTCTCAAAAAATAAAAAAAGAAAACCACACACACACCAGATGTGTGTGCGTGCATGCCCAAAATCCTAAGAGGAGAATGGAGGAAAAGGGATTGCAGCATGACCATCCTCTCTGGGGGATCATTTCTTGCCTTCTCTCTCTCTGGCGAGCACACGTACCCTATAGCAAAAATCTCTCTCGGGGGGGAAAATAAAGGCGGAATAACTTATTCTGAACTAGATCGTTCTAGATCTGTCTAGCCCAGCCCATATCCATCACCTGCCCTAGCATTTGCATAACTGTTACTTACCATGTTTTGTTTCTAGAATTCATATCCCTATGCTTAGGATAGATTGAGTATCCCTTATCTGAAATGTCGAGTATCAGAAGCATTTTGAACTTACGGTTTTTTTGTATTTGGAATACTTGCACATACATAATGAGATACCTAGGCAATGGGACCCAGGTCTAAACAAAGTTTATTTATGATTCATATACACCTTATACACCTTGCCTGAAGGGTAGTTTTATACAGTATTATATGTTGCAGTATTTTGCAGCCCATCACCTGAGTTCAGAGGTGAAATTCACTTGTGGCTTCATGTCAGTGCCCCCAAAGCTTCAGAGGTTGTATTTTCCAATTAGAACACGCGGCCTGTACCTTTCGTTTGCTCCTTTTCCCGCCAGGTGCAGGAGTCGCCCTGCTGAATGACCATATTTATGTGGTGGGGGGATTTGATGGTACGGCCCACCTTTCTTCTGTGGAAGCGTACAACATTCGCACTGATTCCTGGACGACTGTCACCTGTATGACCACTCCACGATGCTATGTAGGGGCCACGGTGCTCCGGGGGCGGCTCTACGCAATAGCAGGGTGAGGATTTAGAGACCAGTCTGGAGGCATCACTCGACTAGGGCAAGAATCTGTGGGAGCCAGTCCTTACTTGTGGACGGAGACAGGATTTGGGCTGGGGGAGACATCTCCGGTGGCTGCGGTAATGAACGACTGTTACAGAGAGTAGAAAGCTCATTTCCTTCTTTGGCTTCTTTCCCATTCAGATATGATGGGAATTCCCTGCTGAGCAGCATTGAGTGCTATGACCCTATCATCGACAGCTGGGAAGTTGTGACATCCATGGGGACACAGCGCTGTGATGCTGGCGTGTGTGTGCTCCGAGAGAAGTGACCACAGCTGGAGCGCCATCCAGAGCTAGTGACGAGTCCAAGGGACAGTTTGTGTGAGAATCAAGGATCCTTTCCAGAACGTGTCTGTCAGCGTGTGCACAGGGTGATTACAGGCACCAGTACCTTGACGAGTGTACTTATTTGAACACACTCCCCCTCGTGCTGGTCCCGAGAAGGGGCGGTAACAGAGGCTCAAGGGCAGAGTGCGCACACCGGATGGATGTGGGAGACAGATCCCCTCTCCCTCTGGTCTGAGGAGCACTTCTTGTTCCGTGTGCTTGAGGCAGTAGCTCTCTGTCGTGCCTCGTGTTGAGAATGCTAAGGTGAGTATGGCCTACTAGAAGTGGGCAGCGTGCAGCGGATGAGAGCGGGAGGATGCCAGCCTGAGTAAGCTCGGTCAGGCCAAGTCCCCACCCCAGGAACAAATGTCTGTTCTCATCTACAGGGTGCGGGGGCAACACAGTTCTATTCTGGAGAAAATCAAAACTTTGGGGGCCAGAGGGATAGTCATCTGACACTCCCCTGGGACGAGGTTGGTATATCAGAACTGAGTTTAGAGTAAGTGAACTGAACAACTGGATTTGGTGGTGTGAGTGGACCTGGAAGCCCACTGACGTCCAACCTGGAAGAGTGAGAAGGGCTTATTATTCAAAGGATCTTTTCATTTCCCCAAGAGCTTTCTAAAGCAGAAAGACCTTGGCACTGGAGACTGAGAAGGTAACAGAGTGAACAAATGTTGGGGGAAAGGAGACGGCGTAGACGTGGGCGATCAGTACACCTGGGCATAAACGAGGAGTACCTGTGATTTTACCATCGTCTTATTCCCTGCCGGGGCTTATCTAGCCGTGGCCATGTTTGCCTTGAATGGGTGAAAGACTCTCTTCGTTGAATCCAATACTACTACACTGTTACCTTCCATACTATTTATTTGGGGATGGGGTGGGAGGTGGCAGCAACCTAGTAGTTTAGCTCGCTAATGACTGTCCCGTTCTTCGAGGGGCACACTTCTGCCAAGGAGTGCTCTTTGCTGCCGTGTTCAGTACTTAGTCCTTTCTTGCTACCTTTTCCTTACCTGTCCTCAGGATGGACTTCATTCGCGCAGTCAGAATAATCAAGCACAACCAAAAGTCTTGTGTTAGTTCCATTGCTTCTGTCACCATTTCTGTGCTGCCATTCAAGGCTCTTCTGTGTCATGGAAGGAAAGTCTTGCTTTATGGGTACTGGGAGTGTGGGGACGTGCTGACCTAAGCAAGGATGCACTTTCCCTTCATTCCAAAATTCCATGTTTTCTTCTTTTCCTGAGTCGTATTAAGCTACAGAGTTCTTTTCTTTGTATTTTTTTAAGAAAATATTAAAAATCAACTGTCTGAAATACCTCTAAGAGAGTTTTTGGCTAACCAGACATTTTGGGGGACAGGGTCCCATCTTTTCAAGCTGCTCACCTTATGGTTTGCCAAGTAGCTCTGCTGTCTGTTAGACACAGGTCAGAGGTAGCCACTTTACCACTGGAGAACCGCATCAGTCAAGTGTGTACCTAAGTACACCATATTCATTGACCTCCCTCACACTTGGAGTTTACTTGAAAACCAAAGGGAGGGCCAGCCAGTGGCATAGTGGTTATGGTGGTGGGATTCCACATGGCCAATTGCAGTTCAAGTCCTGGACCCAGTGGCTTGAAAAAACACACTGGGCGTGTGTGTACATGCATTCCAAAAATCCTGAGAGGAGAATGGAGAAGGCATTGCATTGTGGCCATCCCCCTGGTAGTGGGAAGGGTACTTTCTCATTTTCTCTCTTTCTCTTTCTCATTTTCTGTCTCTAACAATCTCACACACCCTATAGCAATTTCTTTTTTTAAAAAAAAGGGGACTAGCAGGTGGCATGGTGGTTAAGGCACTGGACACTCCCACATAGCCAACCATGGTTCCAGTCCTGGATCTGGTGGCTTTGCTTTCTCACTTTCTCTCTCTCTCTCTCTCTTTCTCTCTGTGTCTCTCTCTCATCAAGTTAAAGAATGAATGAATAAATTCAGCCTTTTAAAAAAGAAAAGGAATAAAGAAGAAGTGATCTTGAACTCACTTAGCCATCTTAATTTTAGAGTTGTCTTTCCAGTCTTTTTTTCTGTTTGTTATTGATATAAATATGGCATATGATATAAATGGTTCTGCAGAACACCTGCAAAACTGCGAAAATCCTGATGTTGCCAGAGCAAAAGGAAGTTATCTTCAGTAAAAGGAGTCTGCCAACCTTGGAACAGATGCATTCTGCCGGCTAACTAAATCTCAGCCTGTGAAACATATGGCCCGTTTTATCTCAGGAAGAGCAGGGACAGTGAAGGAGAGGCCGAGAAGTGGACGTAAAGGACTAATGGCTCCTAGGCCATCTTCAGTGCTAACTTGAGTTTCAGACCAAATTCACAAAAAGTTTATGTACTTCAGCTACAACGGAATATCCTGCAAGCGTCAACATGCAGGGGCCGGGCAGTGGCGTGAGGTAAAAGATGACACTGATGATCCACGTAGGAAGGCAGCGGGCTCAGTCAGGAGACTTCCCTGAGCATGCCAGGTACACGTGCCTGTGATCCTGGGCTGGCTGAGGCTGTGGGGTGGACCATGGTATCAAGACTGTTCAGCAGATGGTGTAATGGTTACATTGCTGGACTCCCACATGGCTGAATGTGGTTCAAGTCCTGGAACCAGGGGCTCAGAAATCATGCCAGGCATGTACGTGTGCATGCCCAAGATCCCAGGAGAAGGGGTTGCTGTGTAGCCATTCCCCATCGAGGGTTGAATTTTTCTCACTGTCTTTCCCTGGCAAGCGCACGCACCCAATGGCAAAAAACTCTTTAAAAAAAAAAAAAAAAGACCGTTCAGGGTGTTGTCTCTGTCACATAGAGTAAGTAAACTTTGAAACTAAGTGGGATGGTCCTGTTGTGCAGTGGTTAAGCATTGAGCATAGAGAGCTAAATCCCACATGGCTGACCATGGTTCAAATCCTAGTCCCAGTGTCCAAAATCCTAACAGAGAAAAGAGATCACTCCCATTAGAGGGTGCTTTATGTCTCCCTTGCATTTTCTCCAGCAATGCACATATCCTCTGGCAATTAAAAAAAAAAAAAAAAAAAGGAGACCAGCAGATAGTGTAATGATTTCATCGCTGGACTCCCACGTAATTGACTGCAGTTCGGGTCTTGGCCCCCGTGGCTTAATATTCACACCAGGCACGTGTGCGTACATGCCCAAAATCCCAAGAGGAGAATGGAGAAGGGATTGCAGCATGGCCATCCCCCCAAGGGGGTGATTTCTCACTTTCTGTCTCTCTGTCTCTGTCTCTGTTGAGCACATGCACCCTGTAGCAAGTCTCCCTTTAAAAAAAAAAGTGGGGCCAATGGGCAGCATGGTGGTTAAGGTGCTGGGCTCCTATATGACCGACAGGTTGAGGCCCACACCTGGCAGCTTGCTTTCTCTCTCTACCCATCTGTTGAGCACCTGTGCCCTGTAACAAATTTTTAAAAATAAATTTCTTTTTAAAAAGTGTGTAAAACTCATTGCTCCTTTTCAGTTTTGTCCCAAGTCATACACATTTTTATGTGCTCACACACATACACAAAAATGTCTTATTTGGTGGTTTTCCTGTTTTTCTAGCTTCCTTGACTGGCAACCAGCCACTTAGTTACCTAACCTAAGAAAATTATCCCCACCATAATACAGAATGTCTATATGGTATGATTTTAATACTGTGTAAGTTAATACTGTATCATTTTATCTCCAATTGTTGCCAGTTCATTCCCGGATCTGCGTTCCCTGTTAAAATAGTACAGGCCTTTGTCTCTCGACTAGACGCATGAGACGACAGCTTCCTGCTATCCTTGCTTCTCTTCCCCTCTCCCAGTCTTGCCACTCTATGTTGTCACCAGTTCTCTCTTTTTAAAGAATTGGGTTGGTTTTTTTTTTATTTTTTTTTTGGAGAGGTTTTCACTATAGGGTGCGTGCACTCGCCAGACAGACAGAGAGAGACAGAAAGCGAGAAATCACCCCCCAATGGGGATGGCCACACCGCAATCCCTTCTCCTCCATTCTCCTCTTGGGATCTTGGGCACACATGCACACGTGCCCGGCGTGAGTTTTAAGCCACCAGGTCCGGGACGCAAACCGCGGTCGACTATGTGGGAGTCCAGCGACATAGCCATTACGCTAACTGCTGGTCCCTTTTTAAAGAATTGTTTTATTTAACTTTTTATTTTAATTTTGACCAGAGAGTGACCGAGGGTGGGGGTGAGAAAGCAAGCCACCAGGTCTTGGACTCCGAACCGTGGTTGGCCATGTGGGAGTCCAGCGCCCTTAACCACCACACCACCTGCCAGCCCCATTATCAGTTCTCCTTTCTGAAGCACAGACAAGATCACTGCACTTCACATAGAACAGACCTTCAGTTAATACCAGCTATTTCTGACTTAAAATTCCATAGGTTAGGGGCTGGCAGGTGGCGTGGTGGTTAAGGGCACTGGACTCCCACATGTCCAACTGTGGTTAGATCTGGCAGCTTGCTTTCTCACTTTCCCTCTTGCTCTATCTCTCTCTCGTCAAAATAAGTAAAACGTTAAATCTTTTTTTAAAAAAAAACTCTATAGATTACTATTGCCCACATTACAAAGTTCAGACTCCTAGCATAATAGACTTACACTGATCTGAACAGTCTGTCTGGACTTACCTTCTTGCCCGTCTTCCTCCTGGTACATCAGCTAGAGAGGTCTAGCAACCAGCCTGAATGTGTTCTCACCCTTGTTTGTGTGTAATACCGGTTGCTCTGTTTGCGTAATCCTGCTTTCCTGACAGTCCTAGTCATCTTTGAATGCCTAATTCAACCATCATGGCGTCAAAGCCCTTTCTAACGCTCTGGACAAAGTTTGGCCAGCAGGTGTCGTAGGGGTTACCTCGGTGGACTCTCACCTGACTGACCTTGGTTTGAGTCCCGGTGGGTTGATGCCCATGCTTGGTGTGTTTGTGTGCGTTCATGCCTAAGACCTTCGGAGGAGAGAGGACCACGAAGTGGCCATACCCCCTGGGAGGTGATGTCTCACTTCCCCTCCCTCTCACTGTCTGGTCCACACCCTAAGGCAAAAACCTCTACCAAAAAAAAAAAAATGGGGGGAAAAAAAAAAAAGCTGCCTAATCCATCCTTCTTTTCACTTTGTTCCTGTACTATGTGCACTGGGTTTGAGTCTGTCTTCCTATTTAGGTGACAGTCTCAAATACAAAGTATCTTACCTTCGGAGTTTGATACGATGACTGGCATTCATCCACTCACTGGATTAATCAAAGGAAAAGAGAAGGAGGTAAATACAGAGTCGCTGAGACATTGACCAGGTGGCCTAGTTCCCCATTTTCTGCTTCCCTTGCCCTTCTCGGCAAACCTGTGGCCTGTTGCAATAGTACTAATGAGATTATTCAAATAGAATGTGCGATAGTGTAATAATTAAGTGCAGTGATTTTAGAGCTGCACTTGACCCACGAACCCTAGAAAGTAAATTCTGATCTTCACCTTATTGTGCATTTGGTGATAAGAGTGCCACCCCCAAGGGAGGTGCCATGATTTCCATGTGGCATTTCACACGATGTTCTGCCACAGAGTAAATGGCCACTGGGATTAGAACAAGGACCAGCAAAGCTTCCTAACATCTTTTTCTAACAGCAGAAAGGCACGTGCCCCTGTAAATAGTTTCTTACAGAAGAAACCAATGAGGCTAGGGAACCAGCAGTTAGCATAATGGCTATGTCGCTGGACTCCCACGTAGTCGACCGTGGTTCGCTTCCTGGACCTGGTGGCTTAAAACTCACGCCGGGCGCGTGTGCTTGCGTGCCCAAGATCCCGAGAGGAGAATGGAGAAGGGATTGCGGCGTAGCCATTCCCCCTGGGGGGTGATTTCTCGCTTTCTGTCTCTATGTCTCTGTCTGGCGAGCACACGCGCCCTGTAGCGAAAAAAAAATTAAAATAAAAAAAAAAAGAAACCAATAAGGCTAAAACCTGATAGGAGGAGTCCCACCCACATTCCCCCAACATTGTCCACAGTAACGACCACATCCATTCATGAGCCGAAATGTACGTCTCAGAAAACTAAAGAGTAAGGTCATCCTGAATGACCTGTCTAGACCTACTATGAAGGGAAGCCCAGTGACCACGTGAGTACGGAGAGAAAGGACTCGTCACTGGTCCCAGGAAGTGACCCTGTCACAAAGCCAGGCTGACACCTTGTCCTCGGGGTGGGCCCTGAACGAGGGCGCCTGCGCAGTAGAGTCCAGCGCGGGTCTGACGCCTGCGCAGTAAGGGCGTGCTCGCGGCTCCCCAACCCGGTCCAGCGGCGCCAGTGCAGTCGGGAAAGACCGAGCAGACACAGCGCCTGCGCGATCCTGGCAAGGTGGCCGTGGCGGTAGCGGCGATGGAGCCAGGGGAGCCGCTGAACGAGCTAGTGTCTGCGGAGGGCCGGAACCGGAAGGCGGTGTTGTGCCAGCGCTGTGGCTCCCGGGTGCTGCAGCCGGGGACCGCGCTCTTCTCCCGCCGGCAGGTAGGGAGGCAGGTAGAGGCGGGGGACGCCGCACTGGTCCCGCAGGGGCCGCAGCGCTCAGCGTCCAAGCCCCGCAGCCGGCGCCCCACCTCGCGCGGTCCTCCGGCCCCGCCCCTGGGGCTCGGCTCCGCCCCCCAGGCCGCCCGGGTGGGGTCCAGCCCTGGATCCCTGAAGCCTCGTGCGGCGGAAGCTCCTTCCCCAGGATCGCGCGTCCGCAGGGCTATGAGGCTGTCTCCGCGAGCACGTGGAAGGGGTGCGCCCGCCGGTGCGCCTAGCTCTTCGCTCACCTGCGACGCCCCAGGTGTGCCTCAGTAGCCGAGGTGCTGGAGCTGCGATTCCTGTCGCACATCCAGCTCCCAGCCTGTCTCATTTTGACAGGCTCCTGTCTGGTTCGCAGAGACTCTCCGGAAACAACTTGGGTGCAGGGGACGTGGCAGAACTGCCCGCGCGACCTGCACTGGTTACCTTGGCCTTGGAACCCAGTTTCCAGGAATCATATTTCAGCTGTATTGGTTCTCTGAGCCCTGGAAATCAATTTGGGAAGAAAACCTATTTTTTTTTCTTCAAGTTAGGAGTTTTAGTACCCCCGTAGCATGATCATCCCAAGTGAAAAAGTTGAAAAAGGATTATTTCAGAAAATTTTTTACTTAAGTATAACATACCCACAGCAAAGTGCAAACTGTAATCTCATTCCAACCATGTGCATATCCTACAGCTGAAAATTATTTCTAAAAATATGCAGGTCGAGGCCAGCGGGTGGTGATGAAGGCAGCTGAATCCTACACGGTGACTGGAAGTTTGAATCTAGGTCAGGACTTAGGCCAGATGCATATGTGTGCCCAAAATCCGGGCAGGAGGGAGAAGTGGAGGAGAGAGTGCATGGGCCATCCCTATTGGGGGGGGGAGGTTCACTTTCCCTCTTTTTCTTGCCTCTTGAGCATAGGCATCCTCCAGCAATTTAAAAACAACAAAAAACTGAAGATCATTGTTTTATTTCGTGTGACTGAAATAGTATAATGTCCCGTATGGGAGCAAGAAGCACCTATTTTTTCAAAAGCAGAGTCCTTGTCATCAAAGAAGGGAAGAGAGGGGGCCAGGAAGTGGTGTAGTGGCTAAAGCTCTGGACTTGCACATGGTTGACCCAGTTCGAGTTCCAGACCCAGCAGCTTGAAACTCACACTGGGACATGTGCATGTGTGCCCAAAATCCTAAGAGGAGGATGGAGAAGGGATTGTGGTATGGCTGTTCTCCCTGAGGGGTGACTTCACTTGGTCTCTTTGGGGGTGTACATGCCCTATATCAAACTCTCTCTTTTTTTTTTTTTGAGAGGTTTTTGCTATAGGACGCGTGCGCTCACCACAAAGACAGAGAAAGAGCTAGAAAGTGAGAAATCACCGTGGGGGGCGGGGGATGGCCACGCTGCAATCCCTTCTCCATTCTCCTCTCTGGATCTTGGGCACACACGCACACGCACCCGGTGTGTGGATAAGCCACCAGGTCCGGGACTTGAACCGCAGTTGAATACATGGGACATGAGAGTCCAGTGACATAGCCATTACGCCAACTGCTGTTTCCCCAAACTCTCTTAAAAAAAAAAAAAAAAGGGAAAAGATCTGTTTTTTTCCTTGTTTTGTGAGTGTTTCGATGATTTTTGGTATAGAGATTTGCTGGAGTTCTCCCTTTTTTTACTCTCTCTCTCTCGTTTTTTTATTTTAATGATTTTTGCCAAAGATTGCATGCACTTACCTGAGAGACAGAGAGAGTGAAAGTGAGAAATCACCCCCCAGAGAGATGGCCATGCTGCAGTGTCCTCCATTATCCTCTTGGGATTTCAGGCACATATGCACCCAATGTGATTTTCAAGCTACAGGGTTGGGGACTCAAATCATGGTCGGCCATGTGGAAATCCAACACCTCCATGACCACATTACCTGCTGGCCCCTCTTTTGATTTTTTTAAGTTTTATTTATTTTATGAGTGAAAGAGACAGAGATACTGCACCCTGTCTCCTTGTGGTAATCCACTCCCAGCCTTAACCAGCTGGAATCATCAGTGCACTTTGCCCTCCACTGTATTCTTAGAGGACTCGGGCCCTGAACCAACAACCTTCCCTTGATGAGGTTGCCTCACAGGTTGTCTTTTACTGCTATGCCACTATCAGCCTCCTCCCTGTTCTCTTGATCAGACTTCAGGAATTGGGAGTAGAGTTCTCCACTTGTTTCACCGAGTTATGACATATGGAGTAGTGAAAAGGACATGGATCTTGAAATTAAAACATAAATCAAATTGAATCCTGACCTTATCATTCATTAGCGTAGGAAGAGCTATTTAATATCTGTGAGCTTCAGTTTGCTTGTTCTGTAAATGAAGATAATGTAGGGAAGAGCTTGTATAAAAGCCCTTGACCTGTGCTTAGTAGACAGTACATAATAGGAAGGGTCTTCAAAAAGTTCCTGGAGAGACCAGCAGTTGACATGGTGGTAAAGGCACTGGTCTCCGACAGGGCCGACTGCGGTTCAAGCCCCTCTACCCATCGGCCCAAGTCATTCTGGGTACTTGTGTGTGCTTGCCCAAGATCCCGAGAGGAGAATGGAGGAAAAGCGATTGTGTCATAGCCATCCCCCTTTGGGGGTGATTTCTCACTTTCCCTCTCTCTCCAGCAAGCACATGTGCCCATGGCAAACACCTAGGAAAAAACACTTTTGGGGATGGGGAGGTGACATGGTGGTTAAGGGTGGTGGACTCCCACATGCTCAACTGCAGTTCGAGTCCCAGACCTGGCAGGCTTTCTTTCTCTCTCTGTCCCTTTTTTGAAAGTATTTTTTAAAGTTTCTAAAAAAGTTTCTGGAAACAGAATTGTGAGCAACTATACATGGATTTAAAAAGGTTTTGTACCAGGACCAGCAGTTAGGCTAATGGCTATGTCACTGGACTCCCATGTAGTCGACCATGGTTCAAGTCCTGGACCCGGTGGCTTAAACTCATGCCAGGCACATGTGCGTGTGTGCCCAAGATCCCGAGAGGAGAATGGAGGAGAAGGGATTGCTGCATGTCCATCCCCCATGGAGGGTGATTTCTCACTTTCTGTCTCACTGTCTCTCTCTGTCTTCTTGGTGAGTGCACGCGCCCTATAGCAAAAACCTCTCCAAAAAAATTAATACTAATAATTCAGGACCAGCAGTTAGCATAATGGCTATGTTGCTGAACTCCCATGTAGCCAACTGTGGTTCGAGTCCTGGACCCAGTGGCTTAAAACTCACCCCTGGGGGGTGATTTCTCGCTTTCTGTCTCTGTCTCTCTGGTGAGCACATGTGCCCTCTAGCAAAAACCTCTCAAAATAAAAAAAGAAGAAAAGAAATAAAAAGAAACACAGGAAGGACTGGAGGCATCAGAGAAGCCACCCAACATCCTAATCTGTTACCAACAAGTCTCCTCTTTTCTCTCCTCATTCCAGAACGCCACTAGGGAGCCATGGAAAGTAGGGTGCAGTGCGGTGATGACGTGACTGGGCCACTCCAACTTTTATGTTCTTTATGTTCCCTTCCGCTGCAGCTTTTCCTTCCCTCCATGAGGAAGAAGCCGGCTCTGACTGATGGCAACAGCCCTGAGGGCGACCTCCTCCAGGAACACTGGCTGGTGGATGACATGTTCATCTTTGAGAACGTGGGCTTCACCAAGGACGTGGGCAACATCAAATTTCTAGTCTGCGCAGACTGTGAAATCGGACCAATTGGCTGGCATTGCCTCGATGACAAGAACAGCTTCTACGTGGCCTTGGAACGGGTTTCCCATGAGTAACTGAGGGAGGGCGTGCACTCCACCCCAACTATAAAAGCTACACCCCCAAGAGCTGGCATTTCTCTGGTATAACTGCTCTGCCGCCTTCTTCTCTGCTCTCGTAAATAGTGAGTTCCGACGTGTCCACGTGAACACGTGGGGGTTGGTCCTGCTTCCCAAAGGCCTCACGTGTATGCCCTTGCTTGGTTCACTTAGCATCGCAACATTTTTCAGCTCCCTTTGTCCCCATTTTGGGACACTGTAGGACCTCCACAAAGCTAGGCTCATTCTTAGCATTCTACCCAGGCTCGTTTTTACCTGGGGCTCATTGTTTTCTTGCACAAGAGAGGCAATATTCAGCCCGCAGCCACGATCACGTGACAAAAACACTCGCGTGCTGAGAGTTGAAACCCGCCTTTTTCTCTCTCTCAGGCAAGAAGGCACTCGAGTACCTGAGACTGACTTTGTTGTGAGGCCAACCTTGTTATCTACTTTAATGTATTGCTTCCCAAAGTAATGTTTACAAACAGTACTTAAACCACTAATCAGGAACACATTACTTTGGACATAGCCCTAATACCATGTTTGAGAGCCCATACAGTCAGGTTAATAGTGGTTTTATTGCCAAGATGAATATGGCCCCTATTCTCTTCAGTTTTTTGTTTGTTTTTCATTTACCAGAGAAGGAGAGGGAGAAAGCACCCCCAATGGAGCATAGTCATGCCGCAATCCCTTCTCCTATATCCCTCCATCCCCTCAGGATGTGTTTTTCAAGCTACCAAGTCCAGGATTCAAACTTCACAGTTGGCCATGTGGGACCCAACTCTCTTAATCACTAAGCCACGGGCAGACCCCCCTCTTCCCTTGAAATATTGATGTGGTTTCTTTGTATTAGCTTCTTGGCTATAGCTGGTATGTTGAGAATCAAATTTTCATTCCTACCTGGCCATCACCCCAAGGAAAATTATACCCCCCTGTTACTCAGGCTCTTTTGGATTCAGAGTAGAGAGTGTAAGTTTTCCAGTGATGGCCATTTGCCAAATCATACATGAGTAGAATTTTCTCTTCTGGACAGGCAGTGTGCGTGTGTGTTAAGTGGTATACTTGTCAGAGAGAGGAAGAGGAGAAAGCACCTCCCGTGGGGAATGGTCATGTTACAGTCCCTTCTCCATCTCTTCCTCCTTTCATGCCTGTTGTGTTTTCTGCAAACCACTGGGTCAGGGGCTTGAACTGTACAGTTGGCCATGTAATATCCAGCTCTTATAACCAACAAGCCACAGAGCCAGCCCAGGACAGACAACTTGACTCCTTTGTTCATAGGAAAGACTTCTTCAATGATGTCATTTCCTAAACCTACTAGGCATGGGCCTCACAGAGTTCTAGGTTGATATTAGCAACCTTATTTAAGCCTTCAACATAATTTCCAGTTATTCTGTCATTTCTCCTCTGAAATGACTTATCATCGTAGAAGACATCTATATAACCAGGTTTCAGGTATCCTGTCGTCCTTCAGGAGGCATAAAATGGAAAGGAAGACTGTAGACCTGAATACCCATCATCCCTTCCTTGTGTGTTTCCCCCTCCTTTCACTCCAAAATGTTTTAAGGGCTCCCCCACCAAAATGCAGCCTTTGGGCACAGTTTTTCAACCAATCTATTTTTTTTTTTCTTTTTTTGGAGAGGTTTTTGCTATAGGGTGCGTGCGCTTGCCAGACAGAGAGAGACAGAGAGATAGAAAGCAAGAAATCAACCCCCCCTCCGAGAGGATGGCCACGCCGCAATCCCTTCTTCTTCATTCTCCTCTCGGGATCTTGGGCATGCACGCACACGAGCCTAGCGTGAGTTTAAGCCACTGGGTCCAGGACTCGAACTGCGGTCAACTACGTGGGAGTCCAGCGACATAGCCATTTCACTAACTGCTGGTCCTGCAACCAACCTTTTCTTCTAGAAAGGTGGCTTCCTCCTCCAATCGGAGCATGAATGAGCTTCAGTAGGAAATGAGAGATCTGTATTTTCCAGACAAATAATCCAATGTCCATTATGGCATATGCAGAAAAAAAACCCCAGGGAATTGTCCTCTAAGGTCAGAGGGAACAAAACCAAGTAGATGCCTCTAAGGGGCATGCGGCCCTCACAAAGCAGAACTTAAGCTAAATGTTTTTTATAAATTAGCTTTAACATTTCTTTTTTAAATCACAGAGGTAGTCCATATTCATTGCAGATAAATTAGAAAATGGGTATAAAAGTTAAAAAAAAAACTTGCATTCTGATATACAGAGCTAGCTAGTGGCAATGTGGCATATATACTTCTCAGTGTTTTTCTATTTTATATATATATAAACAGGTATGTTTTTTTAAATGCAGATGAGATCTTACTGTGTTCTTTTATGATTTTAATTTAACAAAATAGGGTGATCATCTTTCCATGTGAGTCAGTAACTATCCATCTGTGTACACTGTTGTCACTATGTTGCTATACTATAATTTATTTAAATAAACCACTATTGGGTTGTCACAGTTTCTTGCAAACAGTGATATAATGTCCAACTTATAGTTAAGTCTGTATCCACATTCTTTTTTTTATTGGAGAGGTTTCGCTACAGGGCGCATGCGCTCGCCAGACAGAGAGAGACATAGAGACAGAAAGCGAGAAATCTCCCCCCAGAGGGGATGGGCACGCACGCACACGCGCCCGGCGTGAGTTTTAAGCCACCGGGTCCGGGACGCAAACCACGGTCGACTACGTGGGAATCCAGCGACATAGCCATTACTCTAACTGCTGGTTCCCTGTATCCACATTCTTAACGACTTCCTTAGTGCACATTATTAAACGTGGAATTGCAGGGTATGCACATTTTCAAGGCTTTGCTTTGTTGACACACATTCCTCAAAAAACCTATGCTATTTTACCCTCCTGAGCCCAATAAAAAAGAGCACTCATTTCTCCGAACGCTTCCTTACACTGGGTATTATCACAGAAAAACATGTTGCCATTGGAACAGGAGAAAAAGTAATGTCGTTTTATTTATCTTCTTTCTAATGATGTTTTTAATATACTTACTAGTCATTTGTATTTTCTTTTTTTAAGTTGCCAAACATTGTTTCCTCAGTAGCCAGGAATACTGAGTGGCTATTTTGCCTTTCCAGTTTGATTTGAAGGAAATAAAGGCACACCATTAAGCAGTGGAAATCAGATTCCTGCGTGTCCTTGGAGAGAATATATCATTTGAGAAAGCAGAGGAGAGTTGAAACCTGAACCTTAGGCTTTAGTTTGAGATTGGGCAACTAATTAACCGGTCATATCATGTCTGCCGTTGGCCAGGTGCGGCGCCCCACAGGCTGGGACCACAGGGGAGGTCCGGGTTCGATTCTCAGTCCAGGTGTGGTGCAGTGGAGCACACCGACAACACGAGGAGGCTGAGGCTTGCAGCTATCCTGCGCAAAATAGCAAGACCTCTAAATACAAGCTGGGCACAGTGGCACTTGTATGTAGGCTCAGCTGGGAGACTGTCAGAAATATGACAGCAAGACCCTGCTTTCTAAAACAAAAGGAAGAGATCAGCAGATGGTGTAATGATTACATCACTGGACTCCCATGTGGTCGACTGCAGTTCAAGTCCTGGACCAGAAGGCCTAAAACTCACTCTGGGTGCATGTGTATGTGTGTCCAAAATCCCAAGAGGAGAGTGGAGGAGAAAGGATTGTGGTGTGGCCATCCCCCCTGGGGGTGATTTCTCACTTTCTGGCTCCCTGGAGAGCACATGTGCCCCACAGCAAAAATCTCTAAAAGGGGGGGGGGAACACATCATCTCTTCATTCTCCTCATCTTAATACCTGAGATCAGTTGACTGCTTTTCACCAAAGGTAGCTACAGGTAGCCCAAAGTTGCTGTTGTGAGAACAGAAACCTATAGTTTCTACCAGGGAAAGTAGTTGATTTTTCCTGGGTCTTTTGGCAAACTATTTATTTATTTATTTTATTTATTTTTAAAATTTATTCATTTATTTTTAGTTTGACCAGAGTGAGAAAGAGGGAAAGTGAGAAAGCAAGCCACCAGGTCCAGGACTTGAACCGTGGTTGACCATGTGGGAATGTCCAGCACCTTAACCACCATGCCACCCACTGGTCCCATGTGGCTAACAATTTCTTTTTTTAATAAAATATTTTTAAATGTCATTTATTCATTTATTTATTTTAATTTGACCAGAAAGAGACACACAGAGGAAAAGTGAGAAAGCAAGCCACCAGGTCCAGGACTTGAACCATGATCGGCCATATGGGTGTGTCCAGCACCTTAGCCACCATACCACCTGCTGGTCCCCCCAATAGGGTTTTGACATTGCAATTCACCCCCAGCCTTCAGCCTTCAGATCATGGGTAAGCATGTGCCTGATAAATTCAAGAGGGTTTCTAAACTTGAACCCTGAACCTTCCCATGTGAGATTGCCTTGCAGAGTGTCATGTTTTACCTCTGTGTTGCCCTCTGGGCTACAGAGTTTTTGAGTTTAGACAGCTACATTCTAACATTGCATCACCAGCCTTCAATAGGATACAGCGTTTGGGTGGTTTTGCAAAGGGCCGTGACACAATGGATACCCACGTCTCAAAGGGTTCTCAAAGTACTCATGTGAATGTTCACCTACATACCTTCACCATACTCCCTACCCAGAAGAGTATGAGAGTTGGCGGCTTCATAAAACCCAAGACACGGCATCTCTTCATTCTCCTCACCTTAACACACATGAGATCAGTCGACTGGGTTGCAAGGGTTGAGATCAAAGAACATTTTTCAGGATTTGAAGTTAACTTTTGCACCCTTGAACTTTTAAATGTCTCTGAGTCACCTGAACAAGCATTTTGTTTCAAAATATTTCAGGACAGTTCTGAAATGATGTAGCTAGAGTCTTGCGAAAAAATGGATGCAGGAATTTAGGGGGCAGTTGATCTGATGTCACACTGGCCAGTGACACAGTAACTTTGAGTCCTCCTGAGTTCTTCTTTTTTGTAAAAATAATGATTTATTTACCTTTATTTATTTATTTAAATTTGACCAGAGAGGGACAGAGCGAGCAAGAAAAAAGTGAGAAAGGAAACCACCAAGTCCAGGATTTGAACTGCGGTCAGCCATGGGGAGCCTAGCACCCCTAACCACCATGCCACCTGCTGGCCCCGAGTCCTGAGTTCGGTCAACAGGAAGTCATTAAGTGCTAAGAGGCTGTGTTTTGTAGGCTAGGCTCACATGGAAGGCCTGGGTTCAATTCCTGGTCCAAGCTAAAGACAATGCAGTGTTGTGCGCCTGGAATCCCAGAGACTCAGGGAGGCAGGGTAACGCAGCACGGTGAGGGCTTTTTGTTTGTTTGTTTTTGAGAGGTTTTTGCTGTATGGCGCGTACGCTCGCCAGACAGACAGAGACAGAGACAGAAAGCGAGAAATCACCCCCCAGTGGAGATGGCCACACCGCAATCCCTTCTCCTCTTGGCCTCTTGGGAACCCACGCACACGCGCCTGGCGTGAGTTTTAACCCCCCGGGGCCGGGACCCGAACCACGGTCGACTACGTGGGAGTCCAGTGACATAGCCATTACGGCTAACTGCTGGTCCCAAGGCCTTATTTTTAAAAAAGAAAGATGACAGCCACAGATTTCTGTTGGCAGTTCATGTCTCCAGGCCCTATTTGCACAAGCAAGCCCTATGCAGCCCGTGTGAAGTGAGCACCAACGGGAGGTGGTAGACTGGTAGATGCTTTGGGTTCCTCTGGAATGTGCGCAAGTATTAGGGATACTCATGATGTGTGTGTGTGTGTGTGGGGGGGTGTCCAACCATCTGATAAAACCAAACATCAGTGAACCCTCCCACACACACACCGAATTAGGAAAGGGCTTATTTGTTAGGCTTAGGTATCTAGAAGCACAGCCTCATCTCAGCTAACAGCTTGGGAGACGGACAACGTGTGCGTGCCCTTTCGCCTGGACTAGCAGATGATCACAAGAAACACACGAGCACTGCCCCAAACGCTGTCTGATCACATTGCTCTTCTGCTTGAAAGCCCTCAATAGTCCCCCACAGACCGCAGAAAATCACGTGCACCCTCAACAGTCTAGTATTCAAGGTCCCGCCCTGCTTTTCCTTCCCCCCAGGTCCGCAACCGTACTCTTGGCCAGCCCGAAATCGGAGTCACCTGAACTGGAGCAACTGGCTTAGGGAAATGGGAAGGACGTTTCAGCGAGCAGCACCTGCACTGTTCTCGCCCACACCTGCCGGCCCGCGATCCTCGCGCCAGCTGCATTTTGTCCAGCCTTTGAAGCTCCCAGCACCTGGTTCTCATCACAGCATCTTTCCTTCACTGGCCGAGGGTTGCTGAGCTAGTCCGCGCCATCCTGCACGGTTTACGCACTTTTCGAGCCAGGTCCGTGGTGTTACCGATGTAAAGTCGTACAAAAACAGGACGAAGGAATTCCCTCGATTCTACTTCTCAGACCCAGCGCCCACTCCAACCGGAAGAGGGTCGAGCCGGCGGAGAGGACACGGACCCGGGAGACTTTGCTTCCCTTCGGCTTTACAAACTGCCCAATGACGGGCTACGGCGGGGACAGTTTATAAGCTGAGGCCAATAGCGGAGAGTGGGATGGGTCTTGACTGGGGCCTGGCCCAGTGAGAGGCGCGCAGGGAAGAGCCCTGTCCGGCGATGGTCCAATGGGAGCCGCGCAGGGAGGCAAGGCCACGGCAGGGCGGGGATATATAAACCCGAGGTAGTGGCCTGCTTTGGGATTCGTGGTGTCGCCGGGGACTCGTAGCGCGTCTGCAGGGAACGACCGTCTGTCTACACGGTGCACCTGAGGAGCAGCCATGGTGAGGGGTGCTGCGGCGGGAAGGGGCGGGGGTGCCTGGGGAGGGGGCGTCGTAAGGGCCAACTGCGCGGGAAGGAGGGATGCCCTGGCAGTCCTGGGTATCGGGGCTATGGGTGGGCTGCTCTGGGATGCCAGGGATGTTTGGGGGTCACGACAGAGTGAACTGTGCAGAAAGCCTGGGGAGTCCAAGTGCTGCTATGCCACGTTCCTTCTCTATGGTAGGGCGCGATCGAGGAAGTTTGAGCGCTCCCAGAGCGCTGCGGACTGGACAGACTGGAGACGGGTAGACCCGGCGCGCGCGCGGGGCCGGCAAACGAGAGCTTGCTCGGGTGGTTCGTGCGGTGCGGCCGGACTCCCAGCGCGCCTTGGAATCCGGAGGAGTCCTAGGAGTCGCCCCATACTTCTCCCGCCGGGGTCTGGGACAAAGAGATCCCAACCTCCAGCTGCAGTCCCCGCCTCCGAATGGCAAAAGCTAACAGGTTTCTCCAGCTCCGTCTCCTAAAGCCTTCGTCTTGGGCGCCGGGTTCTGGCTAGAGATCAGAGACCGAGGCCTTCTGGTCCACAACCGTCCATGGGTTGCTGACAGCTCCTCGCGCCTGTATAAGAATGTCTTTTATTCCTTTTCTCTACTCTTTCGGTGCCCAGGGACGTGTCTCTGAGTTAAAACTGGGGACTCAGGGTGTACACAGATTCTGGACCCCACAGGAATCTTTTGATCCCCATCTCTTTCCTGAGCACCCCACCACCACCACAAGACTCTGAGCCCTTCTTGCAGAACCCCCCGCACCCCCGAAACTTGCCTGCTGTCCTCCTCCAAGGTCCCTTCTGCATCTGGGAGCTGCTTGGCTCTTTTAAATGGATTCCCTAGACTATGGTGAGGTGAAGGGCAAGAAGATGGGAGGGAGGGTCTCTCCATGAGTTACCTGGGTAAGAAGAGTAGGGGAGCAGTTTCTGGCCTCTGTGACCCTTGAGTTACGGTGGGCACTTGCTTGGACTACCTCGTCCATGCTGTAGCTGGGAGGACAGGTGTCTAGGAGGGGTGCGTGTTCCCCAATAAAGGGGAGGTTGCAGGTGATTTGGCAAGGCTGGCTCCAACTCCAGAGCTGCTTCCTTGGTTCATCCGCCATCCTGAACTTGGGCTTCTGCCCTTCCCAGGTGTGGAGAAGACACAGCCGCTGCCCTGGGAGACCGCTTCGCTCCGAGGCCCCAGGGCTCTAGCTGGGACCCTCCTGAGAGCCTGTTTTGCAATACCAGACTCAGCTGAGGAGGCTCCATGCAGTGGGATTCAGCTGCTTGCTTTTGACTTCCTCTGGGTCCTACCCCAAAGGACCGAGGCAGAGTCACTTCTTCCTCTGCCCTGAGTAGATAAAGGAAAATGAGGACTTGGAGGTTGTTCTGCTTAAAATGTGGGAGGGCAGGGCCAGCGAGGTGGCATGGTGGTCAAGGTGTGGGACCCCACATGGCTAACTGCACCATTTGAGTCTTGGACCTGGTGGCATGAAAAACAAAGAGTGCATGTGCGTGTGTGCCCAGAACCCTGAGAGGAGAATGGAGAAGGGATTGCCCCTGGCCCTCCTCCCTGGGAAGAGATTTCTGGCTCTCTCCCTCCCTCCCTTCCTCCCTGCCCTCTCCCCATGAGTGCACTTACCCCATAGCAAAAGTATTAAAAGAAAGGGGGGGAGCAGGTGGCATCGTGGTTGAGGTGTTACACTCCCACATGGCCAACTGCGGTTTGAGTCCCCAACCTGGTGGCTTGCTTTCTCACTTTCCCTATCTCTCTGATCATATTAAAGGAAAAAAAAAAATCTTTTTTTAAAAAGTGGGAAGGCCTGGAAAGAAAACCCAATCTTTAGGGTTTCAGGCTAGGTAAGACATTGCTAGGCTTCAGCTTTTGGGGAAGAAAGACAAAGGGTGCTCCTGGGAAGGTTTTCCAAGCCCCACCGCCCTGCCCAGGTGCCACTCAGGGCATCACTCTGCTCTCCCCACAGCGTGAGTGCATCTCCATCCACGTGGGCCAGGCTGGAGTGCAGATGGGCAATGCCTGCTGGGAGCTCTACTGCCTGGAACACGGCATCCAGCCCAACGGCACCATGCCCAGCGACAAGGCTCTGGGCAGCAGCGACGACTCCTTCAACACTTTCTTCAGTGAGACCGGGGCTGGCAAACACGTGCCCCGTGCTGTCTTTGTGGACCTGGAACCTGCTGTCATAGGTGAGTCCTCTCCCTCAGCCTATCATTTTTTGCCAGCCCCAGAGTCACTGGAGAGCTCTGCTTAGGAGAAAAACACTTGGAATGTAGGCAGTCCCCTGCCAAGAACAACACCAGAGTCTGAAGTCCGTGACTTTGTCTAGACGGTCTTCAGGAGGGAGCCTGGGGGCCTCCTGTGCTGGGGGAAAAAGATTCGTTGCACAGCTCTGCTCAGAAACTGCCAGATGTTTGAGTCAGGTAGGACCTGGAGTGAAGACTGCAGAGAGAAGTGGATATAAAAGCAGAAATTGGAAGCTTCCTTCTCCCACCCTTGGCCTCTCCAGGATAGCACTGTTGCAGGTGCTGGGAGCTGAGAACATTCACAACAGCCACCTGCTCAGCTGTGACTGAACCGTCCCGATGGGATGTGGGCCTGCGTGAACTTGGCTGTCACTGGCCTCCGGGGGCTGCCGTTTCCTTCCTTCTGCATCTGGGTCTCCTCAGTTCCCCGTTTCATGAACATTGTATGGCCGCCTCTTTCTGGAGATAATATTTTGACATTAAACTGTGGGCTGGGTTGTCTGCATTTCTCTATATTCTTACCCCAGTCAAAAATGAAGTGAGGTTCTCCTGAAAACCCCTGATTCCTCATCAAGCAAAATGAAGTGGCTATGATCAGAAGGAAGGGGCCTGCCAATGGCCTGGTGGTTAAGGCAGCTGGATCCCACATGGCTGACTGCACAGTTTGAGTCTCAGACCTGGCAGCTTGAAAAAAACATGCAGGGTGCAGGTACATGTTTATCCAAAATCCCAAAAGCAGTGAGAAGTGGAGGAGAAGGAATGGCAGCATGACTGTGCCCGATGGGAGGTATGGGTTGTCCGAAAAACCATGATGTATTTTTCTATGCAAAAATGCGTCACACCTTTTCCTACGACTCACTCCTACTTTCTCACTCTGCCCCTCCTTCTGTCTCTGGTGAGCACATGCATCCTCTAGTAGAAATTTTTCAAATTACTTATTTAATTTCATTTGTTACTACTATTATTTTTTTTTTTTATTTGACCAGAGAGAAAGGTAAAGCGAGAAAGCAAGCCACCAGGTCTGGGACTCAAACCATGGTCTACCATGTGGGAATCTGACACCTCTAACCACCATGCCACCTGCTGGCCACTTCTCTGGTAGAAATGTAAGAGAGAAAGAAAAGATACTCCCTGACATTCCCCTTCATGGGCCCAGGTAGGACCGGGCTGCAGAGTGGAGTTCTGGGATGTCGTGTGCCCCTCCCTCATTATTGTGCAATTACACTAATGGGGGCTTAGCAGCACAACTTCTAGTCCCTCCTGTCCTGTCGAGGAATGAGATCAGCCTCTTACCTTTGCCCTCTTTCTTGCCCTCAAGATGGGGTAAGAACTGGCATTTATAGACAGCTCTTCCACCCCGAGCAGCTGATATCTGGCAAGGAAGATGCTGCCAACAACTATGCCCGTGGCCACTACACTGTGGGGAAGGAGATCATCGACCTGGTGCTGGAGCGAGTCCGAAAACTGGTGAGCAGCACCAGGTGCTCTGGCACCTACAGGAGGTCATTGCCTGCTTAGCCTGCCCCCCTGACCCCGGAGGCTGAACAGGTGTGGGAAGAAAGGGAAACCACAGCCTGTGGCTGACAGTGTCTTCCTCTGCCTGTCTGTCTGCTCGCTACCCCTAGGGGGAGCTCTGTCCTGGGTTGAACACGGGCTGGAAGCCAGAATAACCTGTTCTGTCCTGAGTTGGTGGCTCTGGCTTCTGTCTTTCTGGTTCCTCACCTTGCCAGCTCTGGTTTTGGAATCTAAGTCGTCTTTGAACTTTGATCTATCTCAACCGCAGCTCAGCTTGTTCTTAAACTCTGAGTCCCCTGGTTAGTTCTTAACCTCCTCTCCACTTTACCCATCCCCTGTCCAAGGCACTGAGCCAGGAGCGAGGCCGCTTTGGCACTGGTGCCCTAGAGAAATTTTCTAGACGGTCTGTGCTCAGAAGAGACTGGGGACTTGGCAGTGACCCACAGGATGGGCTTACGTGCTCCCCTTCTCCAGAATGTAAACAAAGCACCCTCCAAGGTTGGACCTTTCTTACACGGTCACCACTGTGTGTGTGGTGGCGGGAGGTGAGGCTTCTCTGGCCCGAGGACCAGCTAGGTCCGATTCATCTAGGGGACATGTTAAACTGCAGATCCCTGGGCTCCAGGCTGAGGTGCACGTTCCAGGCAATGCCACCACCACTCCCACTCCCCTGCAAGTAGGTGGCAAAGCTGAGTGGACCAGCTCTCTGGCTGCAAATCCTCTATCCCACCTCATCCTCTCTCCCCCACCTCACCCCTGCCCCCCCTACAGCACTGCCTTTCTCTTTTCTGGATCGCCTGTCTCCCAAGAATGCCAAGCCTTTCGTAGGAATTCTCTTCTTGCCTCTCTAGACTCGAAGCAAAGAACGTGAAGAAACTTTCTGGGATGATGGAAATTTCTCATCTTGGTTGGTGTAATTATATAGCGTACATGCCTATCAAATCACTCACTGTACTTACGATGCTTACACTCAGTGATAATTTATACTTGAGTCTCTTTTTAAAATAAGAAATGAGGGAATAGCAGATGGCATAATGGTTACATTGCTGGACTCGCACGTAGTCAACCAGTGTTTGAGGCCTGGACATGATGGCTTAAAGCTCATGTCAGGCATGTGTGCATGCGTGGCCAAAATCCTGAGGAGAATGGAGGAGAGGGGATTCCAATATGGCCTTCCTCCTGGGGGATGATTTCTCACTTTGTTTCTCTGTCTCTCTGATGAGTGCATGTGCCCGATAGCAAAAATATCTCTTTAGAAAGAGAGAGAGAAGGAGAGAGAGACAGAAGGAGAGAGAGACAGAAAGAAAGAAATGCTGGGGTGCCAACAGGTGGTATAGTGTTTAAGGCACTGGTCTCCCACATGGCTGACTGTAGTTCGGGTCCCGGACCTGGCAGCTTGCTTTCTCACTCTCTTTTACTTTCTCCCTCCCTTTTTCTCTCTGGTGAGTGCATGTGCTCTATGGCAAACTTAAAAACAATAATAAATAAAATCATTCTTTAAAAAAAAAAAGTGGATGCTGGACCAGCCCACAGGGTGATCGTTAAGGTTGCTGGATTCCACATGGTTGACAGGAGGGAGAGATGGAGAAGCCTGACCATTCTTCACTGGAGGGAGGTGCTTTCTCACTTTCCCTCTGTCTCTTTCTGGTGAACACATGCATCCTCCAACAATATTTTTAAAAAGAGAGAAGTAAATGCAATTGTGGTTAAGAATAGCTTCCTAGGCAGAGAAGGGCTCCCTTGAGAGCAGAGGGCTGGGCAGGCTCCTGTCCTCTGTGTCCCTAACAGTGTTGTCTCTGTCTCTAGACAGACCAGTGCACCGGGCTCCAGGGCTTCCTCATCTTCCACAGCTTTGGGGGCGGGACTGGCTCTGGCTTCAGCTCCCTGCTCATGGAGCGGCTTTCTGTCGACTACGGCAAGAAGTCCAAGTTGGAGTTTGCTATCTACCCGGCCCCCCAAGTGTCCACAGCAGTCGTGGAGCCGTACAACTCCATCCTGACCACACACACCACGCTGGAGCACTCGGACTGTGCCTTCATGGTGGACAACGAGGCCATCTACGACATCTGCCGCCGTAACCTGGACATTGAGCGCCCGACCTACACCAACCTCAACCGGCTCATCGGCCAGATCGTGTCCTCCATCACTGCCTCCCTGCGCTTTGACGGCGCCCTCAATGTGGACCTCACGGAGTTCCAGACCAACCTGGTGCCCTACCCCCGCATCCACTTTCCCCTGGTGACCTACTCGCCCATCGTCTCTGCCGAGAAGGCCTACCATGAGCAGCTGACCGTGGCGGAGATCACCAACGCCTGCTTCGAACCCTCCAATCAGATGGTCAAGTGTGACCCTCGCCACGGCAAGTACATGGCCTGCTGCATGCTGTACCGCGGCGACGTGGTGCCCAAGGATGTGAACGCCGCCATTGCCACCATCAAGACCAAGCGCACCATCCAGTTTGTGGACTGGTGTCCCACGGGTTTCAAGGCAAGTTGGGGATAAAGGGAGGGAGTGGCTCGTGGCCTGTGTCCCTCCTGGGAGAGAGATTCCTATAGAGCTGCAGGCATGAAAAGCAAACCTGCTGCGGGTGGAGGGAAGAGGACAGTAGCTTCAGAGACTGTCTTGAGCTTGACGGTTCTCAGCTGGTCTAGAAGCCTGGCCTTTGAACCATAGCCAGGGTGGATTCTACTGGAAAGATTGCTTTTTTAAAAAGCAAAGTATTGGTATCATGGCACTTGGCCTGGCAAATAGGCATTCCTGAGGCACACCAGTAGAGGGGAATACCTCATTCACGTGTGCCAGGGACATGGCCACGTGATCTGGCTCCTGCTCGGAAGGGAATGCTTTATGGAAGTGCAGATTGTGGCGGAAATGTGGGTCAGAAGGCTAGAAGGCCCGTGGCGTCCGCATCCACAAGTGTAGTTCTTTCGCAGTGATAAAGGACTCCCAGCCCCACCCTGTTACCAGTTCACATTCCCAGGGTGCTGAAGACCGGTGACCTACTTTAAGTTTTATGGGTTTTGCCCTAGAGCAGGACTCTAGGAAGATTAAAGGTGACAGCTGTGGTATTAGCAAAGATCTAAGCTTTCCTACCTAGTGACATTGCCATGACGTAGCCGTGTCAAGAAGGGGAGCAGAGACTGCTGGCTGTAGGGATGAAAGCTGCCGGTGTTGAAGAGTGGTCCTGTAGCCCAACTCCAAGTCGGGGGCAGGAATCTGCCTCCTTGTTAGGAAAATGAAACACCACCTATGCCATGTATTTCTACGTGCTGCACAGACATGGTTCCAGTTGGTTAAATTTAGATCCAACTGGAGATCTTCACAAAGATTTATATTACACTATATTTTGATTTAACACCTTTTTTGCTTTGCTGGCCCACTTAAACTCACTTATATTGTCATATAACACCAATCTGTGTTTTGTTTTTTTTTTTAATTGCCACCGTGTGTGCACACCGGAGGAGCACACACCCCCCTGCAATGGGATGTGGTCACACTGCCATCCTTTTTCCTTCACTTCATCCCATCAGGATTTGGGGCATACATGAACACGGGCCTGGCATGTTTTTCAAGCTGCGGGGGCTGAGGTTTGAACCACAGCTGGCTGTGTGGGATCTGTCTCCCTTAACAGCTAAGCTATGGATTTGGCCCTATTTGGGGTGAGGGGTGTTTTCCGTTGACAGAGGGTGCGTGTGCTTATGAGAGAGACCGATACAGGGCTTGTCATGCCGCAGTCCTTCTTCCTCTGTTCCTTCATCCTATCAGAGCTTTGGACACACATGCACACATGCCTAGTGTGTTTTTCAAGCCCCAGAAGTTGGGATTCAAGCCATATTTGGCCACGTGGGATCCAGCTCCCTATGCAGGGCTTAACTGCTTCAAGGGGCCGACCTTGAAGGGACTAGTCTCACTGCCCTGGAGAGTCCTCACCTTCTCAAGGGCACAGAACTTGTCTGTGTCCTTGTCGTGAGGTAGCTCCTTGTCCATCTCCATGTTTCTTTTCTTTCTTTTTTATTTTTTAAGAATTATTTTATTTAACTTTATTTATTATAATTTGAGTAGAGATGGACAGCGTGAGAGAGAGAAAGCAAGCCACCAGGTCCAGGACTTGAACTGCAGTCGCCCATGTGGGAGTCCAGCGCCCTTAACCACCACACCACCTGCTGGCCTCCCCGCATTTCTTACACATTGGCAAATGTCAAATGCCAAGAGCTGCCCCCTCCCCAGTTATGGGACTCTTTGTACAGAGCACAGAGCGAGGTGCTTGTACTGCTTGTGTCTCCTAGGTTGGCATCAACTACCAGCCCCCCACAGTGGTGCCTGGGGGCGACCTGGCCAAGGTGCAGCGGGCGGTCTGCATGCTGAGCAACACCACGGCCATTGCCGAGGCCTGGGCGCGCCTTGACCACAAGTTTGACCTGATGTATGCCAAGCGGGCATTTGTGCACTGGTACGTGGGCGAGGGCATGGAGGAAGGGGAGTTCTCGGAGGCCCGAGAGGACCTGGCTGCCCTGGAGAACGATTATGAAGAAGTGGGCACAGAGTCCCTGGACGGCGAGGATGAGAGCGAGGAGTTCTAGGGGACCCAGGCACCCACAGTGCACCTCTGGCACCCAAGTTGTGTATCTCATCCAACTGTTTCCCCAACCCTTACAAATACAATGTCTCAAGCAACATGGAACCCCATGATGTGGATTTCTATCCAGGCGGTGGGCCTTCCCTAACTTTCCCATCTCCCCTTGCCATCCTCAGTTAAGGTGGGGTTGGCAACACCAACCTCTGTAGACCTTCCTGACAAACAGCTGCCTCTCAGCACTTGGGCAGTGGTGCTTTGGCTTCATATGGGTCCCTGTGTACCTCCTGTCCCTGGCTCACCCCAAGGAGAGGTAAGTCTTAAAGAGGTTCCAGTTCAAGCTTCTAAAAGTTTATATTTATTTATTTTTTAAATTGAGCATTTTCCACCTATCCTTCCTCCACTTGGCCAACAGAGGGCAGTAGAAGTCGAATTCACAGACTGATCTGCAGCAGCCATCTTGCATTAGGCTTCTACCCTTGCAAAGGCACAGGGTCCAGGAAGCAGAATTCTAAAGAGGTCGTTAGCCTGGGGCTACCAGCATGAATAATTTTTTAAAAATTATTTATTTAACTTTATGTATTCATTTCTTTTTAATTCGACTAGACACATACACAGAGAGATTGAGAGAGAGAAAAAGTGAGAAAGCAAACCACCAGGTCTGGGACTTGAACCATGGTCAGCCATGTAGGAGTGTCCAGCACCTTAACCACCACGCCACCCTCTGGTCCCCCCTAAATAATTTTTTAAAGTGCCTGTGAGTGTTTTAGGTAAGAGATCTGTACCTTTTCTTCTCAAAGGAGTTTCCTCATTGGGGAAGTTAAGAACTATGTTTTAGGGGCCAGTGATATCTGGGCCTCTGTATTCTTAGAGACCTAGTAGTAGCTAAGGGCAAAACAGAAGATCTGTGCTCTCTGAAAACCAGGCGTCTCCTTGCGGCTGGGCTCTGTTCCTGGCAAGACCACCAAGCAGAGCCCAGCCCCCACTGGAAGGGAGGGCCCATACTTTTAGCCCAGATCTGCCCACTTGACGTTTGGACACTCAGTTCCAGCATGCGACTCAGGGTGTATCTGCCTTTTCCAAAACATCGGCAAGCTTTGGAACTGCTTGGAACCGTGGCCTTGCTGTGGGCTCAGGGCACTAGCTGGCAGTTACCTTAGGCATCTGGGAACCTTGCCTGGTTGGTCTCTGGGAGGGGTTTGCTGAGAAGATGGCATCCTGGAGCCCTGGGCCTAGGCCACACAGTTGGACCACGGGGCTGTGTGTATCTAGAAGGGGCTGTGCACACCCATGTGGTGGCTAGTCCCCTGGCACTGGGTCTTGTCTTCGTTTCCCCATCATCCTCTGTCATCACTGCCCTGAGAACAGAGGCCTGCTGGTCTGTTTCTCCTTGTCCTCAGTCCTCATAGTCCCCAGGAAACAAGGCCTTCACCGACTTGGTTCCTTTGTCTTTCATCCCCTGGGAGCCAGCTCTGACATGGCACCCATCTTTCTTACTCAGGCTCCCTTGCTTCTAGCTGAAGCAACATGTCATTGTTTTGAGTTTCTTTATTTCTTCTTCGTGAGAGAGTGAGGCAAAGTGAGACAGCCCCAGTGTGGTCCCCACACACAGACCTGCCACCAGTCTCAGCTGGCCCAGGTCACAGGCACGTGTGGCACTCAGTACCTTTCCCTTGTGGGCTGAGTTGGTTACTATTGCACAACCACCTGGCCCCTGGCAAACTCTTAACCTCCTGGTTCCTCTACTACTTGAAAGGCTGGGATTCAGAGCAGAATTAAGGTATAGAAGGAAGAAGAAGGGGGGGAAACCTGCTTTTAAAAAGTACCTTTTTTTTTTTAAGAGGGTTTGCATTAGTTCGTGTGCACTCACCAGAGAGAGAGACAGAGACAGTGAGAGGTAAAATGAGAAATCACCCCCCGGGCGAGATGACCACACCACAATCTCTTCTCCTCTTAGGATTTTGGACATGTACCCACATGTGCTTGGCAGGAGTTTCATGCCACTGGGTCTGCAGTTAGCCTCGTGGGAGTCCCATGATGTAACCATACGCCCTCTGCTGGCCTAAGTACCTGTTAAAGGATCCGTATCAGCCCATGTTCAGCAAGTGCCTCTGGCCTGCTCTCCCTGTCTTTACCCAGAAACCAGCATTCCTATTCTTGCTTTCCTTGGTCTTCCCCTCACTGGCCAGTGAGCTGCTACTTGCTGGTGGTTCAAACCATGGCCCCGCAGGTTCCCCAAGGTGTGGGAGAGAGGATGCACAGTGAGGACTAGACAAGACACCCAGCCCCGAATACTGTCCGTGATGAGAGGCCCAGCAGAGTAAGTTACAAATGGAGGGAGCATCCAGACCGTGTGTTCAGATAAACGAATAACCACCGTATCTCCTCTCTTTTAGGTAGAATAAAATCCGTGTCATACTCTTATCTACTTCCCATTCCATTCCCTCCTTTTTTAAGAATTATTTAATTTATTCTTTTTTTTTTTTTTTTTTTTTTTTTTTTTTTTTTTTTTTTTTTTCACAAAGAAAGAAGAAGAAAAAAACACCAGGTCCAGGACTTGAACCATGGTGAGCCATGTGGGAGTGTTCAGCACCTTACCCACCACGCCACCTGCTGGTCTCTCCATTCCCTTCTAGTACTTTTGAAACAAACAGGAAAAACCTTTGTTAAATCTATTCCTGGCCTTGGGACCAGCAGTTGGCATAATGGCTATGTCGCTGGACTCCCATGTAGTTGACCACGGTTCAAAGAAGAGATAGATCTAAAACAAGTATGTGGGCCAACCCGTAGCGTGGTAATAAGGGGGCCGTATCTCACATGGCTGACCATGTGGTTTTGTACGTGCATGCCTGAAATCCTGAGGGAGGAGTGGATAAGGGACTACAGTGTGACCATTCCCCATGGGGGGTGCTTTCTCCGTCTGGTGAGTGTACCTGTCCCTCAGAAAGAAGTATGGAAAATGTGTACATTACATTCAATGACTGAGCAATTTGTAGCTGAAACTTTTTTTTTGGGGGGGGGGAGAGATTTTCGCTATATGGCACGTTCGCTCGCCAGACAGACAGAGACATAGAGACAAAGCGAGAAATCGCCCCCCAGGGGGGATGGTCACACCACAATCCTTTCTCCTCCATTCTCCTCTCGGGATCTTGGGCACGCATGCACACGCGCCCAGCGTGAGTTTTAAGCCACCGGGTCCGGGACGTGAACCGCGGTCGACTACGTGGGAGTCCAGCAACATAGCCATTACGCTAACTGCTGGTTCCCATCCCTAGCTGAAACTTCTTGTGAAGGAAGGAGAAGCTAGAGAAAAGGTGTAGAACAAATGACCTTTGTTTCGGATTTCTTTTTCGAATATTTATTGAGTACCTACCATGTACCATGGATTAGGCTAGGAAGCCATTGGACATACTGGAGTTTAAACTTCTTCCTGTATGAAATCCTTAGTGCCCTTCAAGTTCCAGCATTCGGGATAACCTGTTCTTAAAAATAGTTCTCACCCTGGGGCGGTCTTACCCTCCAAGAGACTTCAGCAATATTTAGAAATATTTTTGGTTGTCTGAGTAGGGGTTGGGTGTTCTGGCACGTAGCATGTCGAGGTCAGGAATGCTGCTCAACATCTTGCAAAGCAAAAGACAGTCCCCACATTAAGGAATTATCCCGCCCAGAATCGTCAATGACACTGAGGTTGAGAAACTGCCTTGAAGGGGTTGCAAGAAAGATGGGTTTCCAGGCACAGCGCACTAGGGGGACAGATCCTGCTGTCATCAATGGGAAAGTAATGTTCAGACCAGGGCAGGGGGGACAGTGAAGGTGTTGGTATCTCAGCCCCATGTGAGCAGCTGGCATGACATGTGGAAAGGAGTCATGGGTGGGGCCAGCCAGGTAGCATGGAGGTTAAGGTGACTGGGTCTCACATGGCCAACTGCATGGACTGAGTCCTGGACCCGGTGGCTTGAAAAATGCCAGGTGTGTGTGTGTGCATGCACATGGGCCCACGATCCCAGAAGGAGAATGGAAGAGAAAGGATTGCGGTGTGGTTGTTCCCTCTGGAGGGCACTTTCTCACTTTCCCTCTCTGTCTGTCTGTCTCTCTCTCTCATGAGCACACATATCCTATAGCAAAAAAAAAAAAGTCATGGGTGACTCTACCTTGGGTGCAGGGGACATTCTCCTGAATTTCCCATCCGGATTTGGAGGTGAATTCTGTTTTAGATATTGCATCGTTCTGCCAGGCTGCCGTAACAAGGCATGCAGACTAGGCGACAAAGAAAGTGTTTTCTCACTGCTCCTGAGGCTGGCAGTGCCAGGGTTGGTTCTTCTAAGGCCCCTTTTTCTGGCTTAGAGATGGGCGTCACCTTCCAGTGTTTTCTCCGAGTCGTCCCTCTGAGCCCTCCTGTGTCCTAAGTTTCTCATATAGGGATGCCAGACATACTGGGTGAGGATCTACCTGCGTGACCTGATTTTACCACAGCTAGCTCATTGAAGGCCCGATCTCCAAATGCAGTCATGTTCTGAGGCCCGGAGGTGTGGGGGGACTCAGTTCACAATTCAGCCCATTACAGATGTTTAGTTAAGCTGGAGGCAGGGACCGAGCAGAGCTTGCTGGGTGCCCA